TCTCAAAGCTTTCAGAAAGGCCCCACAGGCTGAACTGCCAGCAACACTGAACTGTATTTCCTGCTGCAGTTGAGAGCCACACATAAGGGGGGATAGAAAGAACAGCATTCCTGGGCTGGAGAGATGGCTCAGTGGTTAAGAGCACTGACTGCTCTTCCAGAGGTCCTGAGCTCAATTCTTAGCAACCACATGGTGGCTCACAACCATCTATAATGAGAACTGGTGCCTTCTTCTGGTCTGCAGGCAGAACATGGTATACTAGATAGATAGATAGATAGATAGATAGATAGATAATTTTTTAAAGAGCAGCATTCCTACAGACAATAAAGGCATGCCATGGGCGTACCCTATCAAAAGTACAATTTCACACGCCTTTAATACCAGATCTTGGAAGGCAGAGACAGGTGGATCTCTGTGAATTCAAGACCAGCCTGGCCTACAGAGTGAGTTCCAGGACAGCCAGAGCTACTCAAGAGACAAGCAGATGGATCTCTGTTAGTTCAAGGCCACAGTGAGCTACATGAAATTGATCCAGTGCTAAAGAGAAACAGCTTACACAAAGGTGATCTCAGCACTTGGGATCACACGCCTTTAATCCCAGGATTTGAGGGGTATATAAAAGGAAGAAGCAGCATTCTGGGATTGCAGTCTGAGGTTTGGTGGAGAGATTTATTCTGCAGCCATGCTGAGAAGACAGCCCATTCAGCCTGAGATAAAGGTAATAGCTAGTGGCCGGCGGCTTTGCTTTTCTCATCTTCAGCTTGAACACCAGTATTAGTCCCTGGGTTTTTATTATTCCTGTTATAGACTCCTTCTTTAAACTCCAAATTTAATTTAATGGGGAGGAGGTTCTATTAATCCAATGAAAATAACTCCGATGTTGTTTGTAGTCTCTCGTCACCTACAGTTAATGTGGTGCATGTAAACCTTCTGTGCCATTTCTGTTCTTGCTCTCACAATTATATCCAAACTCCTTTATAAACAGAACAGTGAGGCACTATAAACTTAACAATCAAGCACTGGAGGCTCAGCAGTTAAGAGCACTGGCTGCCCTTGGAGAGCACCTGGGTTCAGTTCCCAGCACCATATGGTGGCTCACAGCCATGAGTACTCACAACCACGGTACTATTACATCTCCATAATACAGCCTAAGATAGTCAAAATTCTAGGAGATTAATAGGATAAGGGTTCTGACTGCACCTATCTCTAGGCTCAAGCTCCAGAATCACAAAATAAAGAAATCACAAAACCTAACCAATGAAACAAACATATTTATAGAACAAATCCAATTCTCCCCCAAATAGAACTCCACCACAAAATACAAAACTCACGAACAAGACTGCTCAACAGCTCTGGAACAGACAATTCTAGGTATCTGACAGTATCTACAGTTATTTATCCAAGCAAAACAAAACATGCTATCTGCCTTGGGAAACACTCCCATAGACACCAAAAAAGCCCTATCTATAAAATAAGGGGTGTTTTTTTGTTTTTTTTTTTCCCCACAAACTACACAGATTTGGGGGGGGGGGGTGTCCAAGTGAGGTCTTTTCAACCTGGACACTATAAAGTGAACTGTCAAACATCCTTAAAGGATTTCAGCATCTTATCATTCTCTGCCTTAGAAACTCACTTTCTTCGTATGAGAATGAACTAACCAACATTATAACCCATAGCTTGAAGAGGAGTGGCTTCAAGTTGCTGTCATTAGCTTAACAAGATCTTCTCTGGCCGGGCGTTGGTGGCACACCCCTTTAATCCCGGCACTCCTCTTTAATCCCAGCACTCGGGAGGCAGAGACAGGTGGATCTCTGTGAGTTCAAGGCCAGCCTGGTCTCCAGAGCGAGGGCCTGGATAGGCTCCAAAGCTCCACAGAGAAACCCTGACTCAAAAAACCAAAAAAAAAAAAAAAAAAAGATGTCCTCTAAAAGCCTTTTTCGAAAGTTTCTCTATGTAGACCTAGCTATCCTGAGCTTGCTCTGGAGACCAGGTTGGCCTCCAACTCACAGAGATCTGCCTTTCTCTGCCTCCCGAGTGCTGGGATTAAAGAGGTGTGCCACCAACTGCCCCCCTTCTAACACACTTTTAAAAGCATAAAAGAGGAACATACAAGCAGAGAAACAAGTCAGGGAATCTTTGTACCACAAAGATGTAGGTTTTGAAAAGACGTTTTTCTGATTTACACCATAAGGAAAAAGAATCTGTCACACTCACTTCTGAATCTTCTGCACTTTCATAATCGGAAAGAACAGCTGAAAGGAAAACACAAATATGTGAACGGGGGGGAAGAAAACAATAAAAATAACTACATTCCTGACTGCGTGTCTTGGATCAGGCTAAATCCTCACTCAATTTGAACAGCAACTTTTGAGGCACATACAATTATAGTTTCTATTTATTTACAGATGGAAAAGTTTGTGACCATGCTGACAAAAAAAAAAAAAAAAAAAAAAAAAAAAAAAAACCAAACTATGCTATCGGCAGGTGGTACTACTCTAAGTAACTGCAGTATACTCAATCTGTCACCTTCCAAAAACAGCTATGCTCATTATCACTATGGTACAAAAAGCCACTCCTGGGCAACACTCCCCGAAAACCCTTAACGACTTGAGAGAAATCCACTGTTAAAAATACGTGGCCTCAGTTTATGTCCAAAACACTCATCGTGATAAGTAAAATCACTCACCATCGCCTTCCATGCCATCTTCACTCTCCTGAGAGAAAGATGACATGGGTTAGAGCTGTGATTTCCAGATGTGAGGAGCCCCCCGCCCCCGCCCCGCAGATTAATGTGAGGGAGGACAGAAGAATCAACACAAATGTTTGACTAGGGGCATGGAGAAAGGAAAACCCCTGTAAGTCACAATCAGTAAGGCGGATTCTCGACACCTCCAGCCCCAGTTTCTGTATAAACATCCGCGTTGCATGCCTCGCGCTCAGAAACCACCCAGTCCTCCTTCCCTGGGGCTCAGGGTGGATGCAGACTCGCAGCGGGATAACCTTTCCCTCTAACAGGAGGCCCAGCATCCC